AAAAAACAGTTCAAGACAAACCCCGGATTCATCAAACACTTTCGGAGTTGGAGGGCCATGGGATGTAAGTTTAGGTTTAGGCACAACTTAAATCTAGTTTGATTCAGCTGGTCATGCAACCGCACCGGCCTTCTCTGGCGGCGGAGCTGTGGACTTCGCCTTTTTCTTGGGCTGGGTCACACGAGCCTCGGAAGAAATCCTGGGATGTGCAGAAAGGGTTTAGGGTTAGGGATTTACGTAAGGGATTTCAGGTGTTTGAGGATTGTTGCACAAAGCTGCAGTCGTGGCTTTATGTTTTTCAAAGGCCACTAGGAAAACTAAGCACAGGCAAGCTTCAGGTTCGATGCCACCCTTTGGTGCTTCTTGAAAGCCTCCACGAAAGGTGCAGCCTGAGATGGAGATCCCCATTAGAACGAGTTCATCTCATCTCGCTCTTCTGACAAAACAATTTAATCTAGGCGAGTAGCTCGAGCGGTGATGCGATGTACATCAGGAGCCGAAGGGTTTTTTCCCAGCCCCTGAAGGGATTTCCTCGCCTCTGCCATCCCTGCGATGGCATCAGATAACAGCTTGATCAGCGTCTCCTGGCTTTCCAACGCCTCAAGCCTCGGATGAACCATCAGGTGTCAGCATGTGTTTTCATGCATAACGAACTGCTAGATAAGACTGTTGTAGGTCCAGCCACGCACCCTTCATTGTAGTTGTCTTCCCCTCTGCAGCCGTGCAAGCCTGCACCCAACAACGCACAAACTCCCCCACATTCGTGTCGTCCACGATCGTCGCTTCAAGCTCGGACCCCTGACACAAAACCCACTCATGATTGTGTTGCACAACCCTCAGAAACAATCAGTCAATGAAGCAGATCGAGCCTGGGGTTTCGGCGCTTTGGCTTTCTTTTGCTTGGGCTGTTGGATTGTTTGTTGATTGCCACCAGGCGGGGGTGGTGGAGCTGGATCCGCGGTTCGCGGAGGCGGCGGGGGACCTGACGGAGCTCCCTGGCCAATAACATTGCCTTTCTCGAAGGATTCCATCAGAGAAGCAGCATACCGAGGGTCGCATCCGATGTCGCAAGATATCTCGTCCTTAATTTTGTTTAGGCATTGCATGGGTCTAATTTTGGGGTGTGGGGTCTATGCGCGCGTACTTAAGTAGCCTGGGCACCAGGGAGCGGGTCGTCAGCGTTCTTCTCTCTCGGCCATAATACAGAAACGTTTCCACGGTGGGATCGTTTCGGTCCCAGGAGGTCCTGAGCTTCGGAGGTTATTGACAAAAGGTTCGCTATTGAACAGGTTTGGCAGTGCACTATTTTTAGATCTGGGCACCCTCTGGCTTGCCGACGTCTCATTTCAGCAAACGATGTTGCTTTCTCCAGGTCACCGGAGTGGAAGTCGACGATTTCGGACCAAGGGTAGTAAAGTCCTGTAACATGTGCAGAAATGGTCGGGCTGGGGCTTGGTGTTGGCGACTTTCAGGGTTTAAGGTTCAGGGGTTCAGGGGTTTAAGGGTTCAGGGTTTATAGGGGTTTAGGATAATATAAGGATGTGTAGTTTTTGTTTTTTTTGGGGAGGGGTGGGGGGTTATATGCATATAGGGATATATAAGATAAGGTCAAAGCTTAGCTTATATAAACCCAGGACACCTATTCCTCTAGGCTTCGAAAATTTGGGTGTGGGGCGTTCGGGCTTAACGGGTTCGCGATTTTATAGGTTTACATAACCGACCTTCGTCCTTTTGCTCTTCTTCTTGCTGCCTTTTATACCGCAAGACGGCTTCCAATGCCAGGCCATTGCCTGAGTAAAACAGTATATGCAACATTGGTCTCAACCATCACGAACAGACCTAAACCGGTCAAGCCAAGGATCAACCAGCCTGCACGAACTTTTGGAACGCCGCCAACTTAAAGGCGCCTCCTTTCCTTATATGGTGGCACACCATGAATAGATGTAATGCATCCCACAAAGAAAATCACCAGCACCCTGTCGATAGGAATCTGGAGTGCTAAACAGGCTCTCATAGGCGGCTTTTACTTCGCTGGCATGTTCGTGCCTTTCACAGAACCTTGTGAAAGCCTTGTACTCGGTCTGGTGGGAGGAGGAGTTGACTTTCGCGGGAGTCGGCACAGCAATTGCTGCGCCTGGCTCTGTTGTGGGCGCTGTAGGGGGTGGGCAAATTGCTGGCGGCGGTGCTGCGGCAGCAGGCTTCGGATCCGCCGGGGCACTCGCTTTCGGATGGGGCGGACTCGGAGAAGCTGGCGAAGTGGGGGACGGTGCTGCGGGAGCAGGCTTCGGATCGGGCGGACTCGAAAAAGCTGGCGAAGTCGGGGAGGGCCCACTTGTGGATTGGATCTCAGTAAGTAGCTTTGCGATCGCTTGGATCGCTGACGGATCGCTCGAAAGGCTTCGGATAAGGTCCTGCAGAGGTGGGGCTGGTGGCTGTTCTTCTGCGGTCAGGACGGTACCTAGGCTTGTGGGTGTCATTGCAGACTTGAGACGAAAAAGCTTCGATCGTTTGCCAAGCTGCCAGGGCCTGCATCAGGTGTTGTCCCGTTCACACCTCAAGTATCTGCGACACGTCGCGAAGACTGTGTTTAAACAACACTGGTCACGAACTCGTGTTGACCAAGCAGCTGGAATTCGCCGTATCCGGCAGCATACCTTGGTTGTGTCACGATCAACGAAAAGTCTATGTTTTCGAAACAGCCCGTGTGTTGGCAAAGTTGCCAGCAGTGGCTGTACCCGGATCTGGAGTAATTGCAGCACCTGGGGTCTGCAATATGCACGTGCCTCCAAAACACCTTGCGTATAGCGCTAGCCAAGTTGCCAGTAGTGGATGTGGTCGGGCTTGGAATCGTCGCCGTAGTCGCCGCAGTACCTTGGGTAGTTGGGTGGCTCGGTGTGCGTATGCTCAAAAAAGGTGCTGGCCAAGTTGCCAGCAATGGATGTGGTCGGGCTCGGAATCGTCGCGGTAGTCGCCGTACCTTTGGTATTTGGGCAGTTCGTTTATGCTACAAAAGTAACAGGGCCATGTCGAGTTGCCAGCAACCGGTGTGGATGGACTTGGAGTCAATGGACCTGTAGCAAATCGTGATTTCGGCTTTGGCTTCTAAGTTAGGCTTCAATTTGCTGTCAAGCAACCACTAGGCCCCGGTGTAGGTGGCTCAGACCTGGACAGAGGGATCGATCTTAGACTTCTGATATCCAGTTGGAACCAAACATCTGAATGCAGCTTCGGGTCAGGTTCTCGAACGATCCAGAGCGAAGCCGGTTCCAAAAGTTCTTGTACTTGCTTTGTTCGGCTTCACTCAGCACGGGGAGCTCAAAGTCATCCTCGCAAAACAACTCCACACCCCCATAAGTTAATGGCCTAAACCCTAAACCCTAA